AAAAAAAAAAATAGATTTCAAAGCTGGGCGGTGGTGGCGCACGCCTTTAATCCCAGCACTCGGGAGGCAGAGCCAGGTGAATCTCTATGAGTTCAAGGCCAGCCTGGTCTACAGAGAGGCACCAAAACTACACAGAGAAACCCTGTCTCAGAAAAAATAAAAAAGACATCTCAATTATCTCTGTCTCTCTTATTCTTTGTTCACTTTCTTGTTCTCTCTCTCTCTCTCTCTCTCTCTCTCTATATATATATATATATATATATATATATATATATATATATATATGAAAATGAGTACCATGCTGCTGGAAATCAGGAACACTGCTGAGATACATGATGATATTAAGATCGCCGCTAATACTTTTAACTGGGTTACATTTCCAGGGACCTTCCTTTAGGGATATTGTTAATGTTTACAGGACGGGACGCCTGGGACTACTTCCAGATAATTCAGAGGGAGGAGAAACTAGACAGAGAATTAGCAAACCATGGCTGCTGCTGGGAGACGCAAAGATGGTCCACGGCACTGTTTCTGTTTTCTGTACGGACTTGAAATTTCATAATTTAAAAACTGTCTCTGTGCACAATTTTACTAACAAGGTAAAAACAAACAAACAAACAAAAAACCCATGACACTCCTAGAAATGTCTACACAGATGCCTCAAGTTACTAGGTGTTTGATTAGCCCGCTCAAGTAAATAGGTGTTTGATTATCCTGATCAAGTAAATAGGTGTTGGATTAGCCTGCCCCTTCTTCCCATTGGTGGCAGGGGCTGCCCTTACATGGTCCTATCTAAACCACATGGCCCATCTGGCTATGAGGCAAGGTGCCCAGGTCTCCCTCTGTGACTTGCCCTTGAGGAGGCCCCAGCCTGGCTCTGCCTAGCTTTTTTTTTACAAGTAAGGTTTTCTTCTGAATGGTTTTCCTGTTTGGGACCCGGCCTTCATCCTCCTTCCGCATCCAATTTCACTAGTGCCGCCCACTCACGAGGCTTGGTCTTTCTTCCTGGAGCCTCTTCAAACCACCAATCTGAATAGAGTGCGATTTTAGGTGAAGCCTCCTCATGAGTTCCCCAACTCCTTAATAGATTACAACCAAGCCTTTGCAAGAGCGGAGTTCCAGAGGGCCTCGCTGCCCTCTTCTGTCTCAACCCAAACCCCAGAGTCTCCTGATAGACTCACAAGTCCTTGCCTGGCCCTTTGAGGATGAGTGAAGTCTTCAGACTTTACCCCCTATGTACCCATCTCTTCCTTCCCCCTTGTGCTCCTGGGGAATTTCTCCTTCTACCTCAAGACTTGACCTGCGTGTGCCTTATTTTCCGAGGAAGTTTCTAGTTTCTGTGTGGGCCTTATTTTCCGAGGAAGTTGGGTTTGGGTGTGCTTGCCTGGGGGACATCTCATAGCTTCTGTCTATCATGTTAGTGTTTCTCACCTTTAGCTCCCCCTTTAACTAAGAAGAAAAAAAATAGTTTACGTTTTCTTGAATGAAAGTGATTAAAGGCTAAAATAAGATTCAGCCAGGTAGAGCTGACCTTTGAAGTCCACATGGTACTGCCACACAGTGCCTCAGTCTTTCATCCCAAGGACCAATTTTTGACAAGATCCATCTTCTGGTGTATACTTTCAATCACACACACACACACACACACACACACTTGATGTATATGGGTGTTTTGCCTTCACATATACATGTCTATGTACCCCCTGCATGCCTGGTACCCAAGAAGGCTGGAAGAGGATTGTAGAAGCCCCTGGCACTGGAGTTGCAGATGGCTGTGAGCCGCCAGGTAGGTGCTGGGAACTAAACATTGGTCCCTCTGGAAGAGGAGCCAGTGCTTTAACCACGGAACCATCTCTCCAGGCCCTATCCTCTGTTTTAAATGATTTCTCTCATTAGACTAAAATCACCTAAACGCATGGCTTTATCTTCGTATCCTCACATCCTAGAACCCTGTCTGGGGTCGGGGAGAATTCAGGAAATGCTGAAAAAGAGCAACAGGACGGATGATTGTTAGCATGCCGCCGGATTCCCAGGAAGAGCGCTCTGACTCATGTGTTAGCCAGCCACGTTAGGCCAAGTCTATGTTCCGTCTTCAAGACAGGTGACACAAAGACAGCGCACCTCCATCCAGAGTGTGAAGCTAAGACCTTGGTGGTCACTACGGGGGATCAGCCGACCCTGAACTTCCTCCCTACAAGGTTCCTAGAGTGTCAGTCAGTTCAACTTCAGGCTGAACTCCGGAATCCATCTGCCTTTTTGAGTTTTAGCCCAGCTGGCATCTGAAAGCCCGCATCGCCCAGGAGGAGGGCACTAACCGCTATGTGGAAAGCTATGTCCAGACCATTTTGGAGGTGGAAGCTCGCCAAGCCGCTCTGTCCTTGAGGCTGCTCTAACTCTCGAAGCTTAGGTAGGAGCAGCTAGAATCTTCAACCACGGGAGAGACTGACTGTGAAGGCAGGGTGTAGCGTCACCAGCACGTTTCAGCGCGAGCCTAAACAGATGTTAATGATATTATAAGCAGC